AGTTAGCAGTAGTTAGTAGTAGTTAGCAGTAGTTAGCAGTAGTTAGTAGTAGTTAGTAGTAGTTAGTAGTAGTTAGTAGTAGTTAGTAGTTAGTAGTTAGTAGTTAGTAGTTAGTAGTTAGTAGTTAGTAGTTAGTAGTTGGTAGTTAGGTAGTAGGTAGTTAGGTAGTTGGTAGTAGGGGTAGTTGGTAGTAGGTAGTAGGTAGTAGTAGTTGGTAGTAGGTAGTATAGGTAGGTAGTAGGTGGTAGTAGTAGTAGGTAGTAGGTAGTGGGTAGTAGTGGTAGTAGGTGGTAGTAGGTGGTAGGTGGTAGGTGGTAGTAGGTGGTAGTGGTGGTAGTAGGTGGTAGTAGGTAGTAGGTAGTAGTAGTAGTAGTAGTAGGTAGTAGTAGGTAGCAGTAGTAGGTAGGTAGTAGTAGGTAGTAGTAGGTAGTAGTAGGTAGTAGTAGGTAGTAGTAGGTAGTAGTAGTAGTAGTAGTAGGTAGTAGTAGGTAGGTAGTAGGTAGTAGTAGGTAGTAGTAGTAGTCGTAGTAGGTCGTAGTAGGTCGTAGTAGGTCGTAGTAGGTCGTAGTAGGTCGTAGTAGGTCGTAGTAGGTCGTAGTAGGTCGTAGTAGGTCGTAGTAGGTCGTAGTAGGTCGTAGTAGGTCGTAGTAGGTCGTAGTAGGTCGGAGTAGGTCGTAGTAGGTCGTAGTAGGTCGTAGTAGGTCGTAGTAGGTCGTAGTAGGTCGTAGTAGGTCGTAGTAGGTCGTAGTAGGTCGTAGTAGGTCGTAGTAGGTCGTAGTAGGTCGTAGTAGGTCGTAGTAGGTCGTAGTAGGTCGTAGTAGGTCGTAGTATAGGTCGTAGTAGGTGGTAGTAGGTCGTAGTTGGTCGTAGGAGGTGGTAGCAGGTGGTAGCAGGTGGTAGCAGGTGGTAGTAGGTCGTAGTAGGTCGTAGTAGGTCGTAGTAGGTCGTAGTAGGTGGTAGTAGGTCGTAGCAGGTCGTCGTAGCAGCTCGTAGCAGGTCGTAGCAGGTCGTAGCAGGTCGTAGCAGGGTAGCAGGTCGTAGCAGGTGGTAGCAGGTGGTAGTAGCAGGTGGTAGTAGCAGGTGGTAGTAGCAGGTGGTAGTAGCAGGTGGTAGTAGCAGTTGGTAGTAGCAGGTGGTAGTAGCAGGTGGTAGTAGCAGGTGGTAGTAGCAGGTGGTGGTAGCAGGTGGTGGTAGCAGGTGGTAGCATAGCAGGTGGTAGTAGCAGGTGGTAGTAGCAGGTGGTAGTAGCAGGTGGTAGTAGCAGGTGGTAGTAGCAGGTGGTAGTAGCAGGTGGTAGTAGCAGGTGGTAGCAGGTGGTAGTAGCAGGTGGTAGCAGGTGGTAGTAGCAGGTGGTAGTAGCAGGTGGTAGTAGCAGGTGGTAGTAGCAGGTGGTAGTAGCAGGTGGTAGCAGGTGGTAGTAGGTGGTAGTAGGTGGTAGGAGGTGGTAGGAGGTGGTAGTAGGTGGTAGTAGGTGGTAGCAGGTGGTAGCAGGTGGTAGCAGGTGGTAGCAGGTGGTAGCAGGTGGTAGCAGGTGGTAGCAGGTGGTAGCAGGTGGTAGCAGGTGGTAGCAGGTGGTAGTAGGTGGTAGTAGGTGGTAGTAGGTGGTAGTAGGTGGTAGTAGGTGGTAGTAGGTGGTAGCAGGTGGTAGTAGGTGGTAGTAGGTGGTAGTAAGTAGTTACTAGTTACTAGTTACTAGTTACTAGTTACTAGTTACTAGTTCGTAGTTCGTAGTTCGTAGTTCGTATTCGTAGTCGTAGTCGTAGTAAGTAGTAAGTAGTTAGTAGTTAGTAGTTAGTAGTAGTTAGTAGTTAGAAGTTTGTAGTTAGTAGTTAGTAGTTAGTAGTTAGTAGCTAGTAGTTAGTAGGTAGTAGGTAGTAGGTAGTAGGTAGTAGGTAGTAGGTAGTAGGTAATAAGTAGTAGGTAGTAGGTATTAGGTAATATTAGTAGTAATTAGGTAATAGGTAGTAGGTAGTAGGTAATAGGTAGTAGGTAGTAGGTAGTAGGAGGAGTAGTAGCAGTAGTAGTAGTAAGTAGTAGTAGTAGTAAGTAGGTAAGTAGTAGTAGTAGTAGTAGTAGTAGCAGCAGGAGCAGTAGTTAGTAGTTAGTAGTTAGTAGTTAGTAGTTAGTAGTTAGTAGTTAGTAGTTAGTAGTTAGTAGTTAGTAGTTAGTAGCTAGTAGCTAGTAGCTAGTAGCTAGTAGCTAGTAGCTAGTAGCTAGTAGCTAGTAGCTACTAGCTAGTAGCTAGTAGCTAGTAGCTAGTAGTTAGTAGCTAGTAGCTAGTAGCTAGTAGCTAGTAGCTAGTAGCTAGTAGCTAGTAGCTAGTAGCTAGTAGCTAGTAGCTAGTAGCTAGTAGCTAGTAGTTAGTAGTTAGTAGTTAGTAGTTAGTAGGTAGTAGTTAGTAGGTAGTAGGTAGTAGGTAGTAGGTAGTAGGTAGTAGGTAGTAGGTAGTAGGTAGTAGGTAGTAGGTAGTAGGTAGTAGGTAGTAGGAGTAGTAGGAGTAGTAGGAGTAGTAGTAGTAGTAGTAGTGAGTAGTAAGTAGGTAAGTAGTAGTAGTAAGTAGGTTAGTAGTAGTAGTGGTAGTGGTAGTGGTAGTGGTAGTGGTACTGGTACTGGTACTGTACTAGTACTAGTACTAGTACTAGTAGTAGTACTAGTACTAGTAGTAGTAGTAGTAGTAGTAGGAGGAGGAGGAGTAGGAGGAGTAGTAGGAGGAGGAGGAGTAGGAGTAGTAGTAGTAGTATTAGTCTTAGTGGTGGTAGTAGTAGTAGTAGTAGCAGCAGTAGCAGAAGTAGTAGTAGTAGCAGTAGCAGTGTAGTTGAAGTTGAAGTGTCAGTTGTAGTTGTAGTTGAAGTGTAGTTGTAGTTGTAGCTGTAGTGTAGCTGAAGTTGTAATTGTAGTTGCAGCTGTAGTTGCAGTTGTAGGGTAGTTCTAGTAGCGGTCGCAGTTGTAGTCGCAGTTGGATTTGTAGTGGCAGTGGCACTTGTAATTGTAGTTGTAGTTGTAGTAGTTGTAGTTGAGGTTGTAGTTGTAGTTGAAATGTAGTTGAAGTTGTAGTTGTGGTTGTAGCTGTAGGTCTTGTAGCGTAGCTTAGTTGAAGTGTAGCTTAGTTGAAGTGCAGTTGAAGCTGTAGTTGTAGTGATCGTGTAGTTGTAGTTGAAGTTGTAGTTGAAGTTGTAGTTGAAGTTGTAGTTGTAGTGTGGTGTCGTGCACTTGCAAGTGTCTATCTATCTGTATCTATCTGTATCTATCTGTATCTATCTATCTTTCTGCCTATCTATCTATCTATCTTTCTGCCTATCTATCGATCTATCTATCTATCTATCTATCTCTCTCTCTCTATCTCTCTATCTCTCTATCTCTCTATCTCTCTATCTCTCTATCTCTCTATCTCTCTATCTATCTATCTATCTATCTATCCATCCATCCATCCAATCCAATCCAATCCAATCCAATCCAATCCAATCCAATCCAATCCAATCCATCGATCTATCGATCTATCGATCTATCGATCTATCGATCTATCTATCTATCTATCTATCTATCTATCTATCTATCTATCTATCTATCTATCTAATCTGTCTATCTATCTATCTATCTATCTATCTATCTATCTATCTATCTATCTATCTATCAGTCTATCTATCTATCTATCTATCTATCTATCTATCTATCCATCTATCTATCTAAAGAGATGTTTATCTATTTGTCTTTCTATTTTTCTATCTATCTATATCTATCTATCTGCAAGTTTGAAAACGAAGCTATTGTGCGAGACGTCCTCAATTTTTGAACTTGACAACATCAAAAACGCAGCAAGTCTGCGAGACTTCCTCAACTTTTGAGCTTGACAACGTCAAATTCGAAGCTATTCTGCGAGACCTCCTCAATTTTTCAAGTTGACAACATCAAAAATGAAGCAATTCTGCGAGACGTCCTTCAAAAATGGAAAGTTGAGTGCAGAGCTGACGGCCTCGTACCAATGCGTTTTGCGATTTTTCCACTCCATCTGTCTAAAGTGCATACGAGGTGCTGCACCTGTCATGCAAAATCATCTTAGCAAACCTACAGATCTGATGCTCCAAAATGCAACCCCTCTCAGGAAATCAGCGCCCTAACCTCCTAACATCTCTGATGAACATGTCTCTTGTATGGCGCCTGCCACGCGACATGCATCTTTGCAGGTCCTCTGCAAATCTCCCACGCCTGCCATCGTTTTTGGACATGCTACAAAACCCAACGGCGTGCAATTTTTCATCCATCTGACCAAATGTCTCCGCACCCGCCGCTTTAGCGAGCCTACTTTTCGACCCTCCTGAGCCACAAATCATTGGAAAAACACAGTGAATCGCGACTTTTCTACCTGTTTGCGCACCTGCATCTTCTTTCTTCTGACTCTTTCTCTTCTCTGATTTCTCTCTTCTGCTCTTCTCTTCTGTGACTCTTCTCACCTCTGCTTTTCCATCTGTCCATACTGTCGGAAGTTTGACTTCTAAACTTTCTTCGACTATTTGGAGACTTTTGGATAATTATCATGTAGTAGAGCCAAGAGCTAGCATTCCCCATATTCTGTGTGGCTCCCAATCTCTTTGCCACTCTAGTTCAGCTCTTCAACCATCTACAAACCCATGGGCCTGTAGCTGCATTGCGATGCGCGTCACAAATTTTGTCCGTGGCTGTCCCTTCACAGATCCCCGCTGAGCCCAAATACAACAGGGAAGCATCCTCTGATCCTAGTGTGGAGGCATCTTGTGAGCTTATGTAATAGAAGCACTCCAAGTCAAAGCCCTGCACCTGTGCCAATGGCCTTAACATGTCTTAACTATGACCATTCATGTGGGAGATCCACTCAAGAAAAGTTGCATTTTGCATAAGCTCTATATTGCTCTATGCTTAAAAACAAATGCCTGCTACGAATGCCAAGAAGGTTTGTCTCAGAAGATCTCACTGCTCTTTGAGTCCGTCTCGGAGACCCGAGCACTCCCGCAGCACAATCTTTTCTTCCCGGTCACATAGTTTCCTCAGACTTCCTCATGCTCGCATAATGGTAGACTGCAGCAGGCATATGAATGGCTGAATTTGCAGCCGCACATTCACTTGGCCTCACAAGAATGGAGTCAAGAGCCCATTGCCAAGCTAAAAGCAGCAAATATGAGTGTTCCCAGGAAGAGGGTATAATATGGATTAATATGGTATAATCCCAAAATGATTCAAAATGACCATGTTCATCCATTTTCATGGGGGAACAAAATAGTCTAAAATCTAGACATCTCTCCATGGGATTTTGGGGAACTCTATACTATTGTACGCAAGCATGACAGCACCATATTCATTATGCTGATGGAAAACGAATACAGTAGGCCTTTTCTTTTCCTTTGGCTAATTCACCTCGCCCAGGTATCTGCTAGAATCCAGCCTCCACAAACCTCTGCTCCTGTCAGGTTTCTCAACCAACGAATGGGTATAGGTCAAACCTTCAAAATTACAGTGTCAACCCCCAAATTCGATTGTTAAATACTGTATATATCCGCCGACCCCGGCAGACGCAAGGGGGAGCGCGCCAGGGAATAAGACATTTGAAGACAGCAGCAGCAGGCCCAGCAGCTGAGCTCGTTTTGTTCTTACCAGAATCCAGAAGGGACGTCAGCAGCAGCAGCAGCAGCAGGCCCAGCAGCTGAACTCGCTTTGTTTTTACCAGATCTTGCAGCACCACCTCGGGGCAGCATACAGAATCCAGAAGGGCCGTCAAGCCCCCGGGCAGCATGTTTTTTGGAGGTAGCAGCAGCGGCAGCAGCAGCAGCAGCAGGCCAAGCAGCTGCAATCGCTTTGTTCTTAACAGAATCCAGAAGGATCCAGAAGGGACGTCAAGCCTCGGGGCAGCATGTTTTTGGAGGTTGTTCCGTCCTTCAGTAGCATGGTGTTTCGATGTGGCGAGGGGTACGTTGTGGAAGCCTGCTGCAGCAGCAGCAGCGGCAGCAGCAGCAGCAGCAGGAGCAGGCCTAGCAGCTCCAGCTAAACTCCTTTTGTTTTTACCAGAATCCAGAAGGGACGTCAAGCCCCGGGACAGCATGTTTCTTGGAGGTCGTTCCGTCCTTCAGGGCCATGGTGTTTTGCTGTTTCGCAACCGCCCGCTAGGACTTCGTTGTGGACCTGTTTTGAAGGGACGGGAGCTGCACTTTGGAGCTGGTTTCTTGTTGGTTCAGAAGGCAACGTTATAGCATGGTGTTTCCTCGCCGGGAGCCGCTCTTGAAGGGTCAGCTGCAGCAGCAGCAGCAGGAGCAGCTCCAGTAGAATTTTTTCCAGGGTTTGCGCAGCATCAGTAGCAGTAAGAGCAACGGCAGCAGTGCAGCAGCTAGCAGCGAGCCAGTAGCCAGCATCGAGAAACGTATAAAAAGCTCTTTGTAGGAGATTTCAGAAGGGACGTTCCGGCCCCGGGAAACGCATATTTTGGACTCCATTCGTCCTTCAGGGCCATGGTGTTTCCCCGTCCGGCAGGGTCGTGTCTTTGTGGGCACTCGCTTTGTTTTTACCAGAATCCAGAAGGGACGTCAAGCCCCGGGACAGCATGTTTTTGGAGGTCGTTCCGTCCTTCAGGGCCATGGTGTTTTGCTGTTTCGCAACCGCCCGCTAGGACTTCGTTGTGGACCTGTTTTGAGGGGATGGGAGCTGCACTTTGGAGCTGGTTTCTTGTTGGTTCAGAAGGCAACGTTATAGCATGGTGCTTCCTCGCCGGGAGCCGCTCTTGAAGGGTCAGCTGCAGCAGCAGCAGCAGCAGCAGGTCAGCTGCAGCAGCAGCTTTTCGGGGTGCAATTTTGGGGCTTCTCTGTCCTTCAGAGGCATGGTGTTTTCCCAGCTGGGGACCAGCAGCAGCAGCAGCAAAAGTTTCTGCAGAAGCAAGAGGTTTCAGAAGTTACCTTAGGCATTTTCGGGGTGCAATTTTGAGGCTTCTCCGTCCTTCAGAGGCATGGTGTTTCCCTGCAGGGAAATGATTTTTTCCATTGTGTTTTCCCATCCGAGGACCAGGTGTGTTCCCATTTGGGGAACGGATGTAAAAGGTAGCCAAGCAGGCGGAAAAGGTAGCCAGAATTCATAGCAGCAGCAAGAGGGAAAAAAGCAGCCAAAAGCATCATTTCATCATCATTTTCTATGGGTTTCAGAAGTTACCTAGCAGCAGTAGCCGCAAAAGCCTCTGCAGCAGCAGGAGGACAAGGTAGCTAAAATTCACAGCAGCAGCAAGAGGAAAAAGCCACCAAAATCATCATTTTCTTCATAGCGGCAGCAAGAGGAAAAAGGAGCCAAAAGCATCACATCATTTTCTATCGGTTTCAGAAGTTACGTTAGGCATTTTCGGGGTGCAATTTTGGGGCTTCTCTGTCCTTCAAAATTCATAGCAGCAGTAAGAGGAAAAAGGAGCCAAAAGAATCATTTTCTATCGGTTTCAGAAGTTACGTTAGGCATTTTCGGGGTGCAATTTTGGCGCTTCTCCGTCCTTCAGAGGCATGGTGTTTCTCTGCCGGGAGGTGTTTTTTTCCATGGTGTGTTCCCATCCGAGGACCAGCAGCAGCAGCAGCAAAAGCTTCTGCAGCGGCAGGCGGAAAAGGTAGCCAGAATTCATAGCAGCAGCAAGAGGAAAAAGGAGCCAACAGCATCATTTTCTATCGGTTTCAGAAGTTACGTTAGGCATTTTCGAAGTGCAATTTTGGGGCTTCTCCGTCCTGCAGAGGCATGGTGTTTTGCTGCCGGGAAGTGATTTTTTCCATGGTGTTTTCCCATCCGGGGACCAGCACCAGCAGCAGTAGCAAAAGCCTCTGCAGCAGCAGGAGGAAAAGGTAGCCAAAATTCATAGCAGCAGCAAGAGGAAGATAATCATCATTTTCTCGCGCAGATGATCTGATTTTGGGGCTTCACCGTCCTTCACGCCATGGTGTTTTCCCATCCGGGGACCAGCAGCAGCAGCAGCAGCAGCAGCAGCAAGAACCTCTGCAGCAGCAGGAGGAAAAGGTAGCCAAAATTCATAGCAGCAGCAAGAGGAAAAAGCAGCCAAAATCATCATTTTCTATGGGTTTCAGAAGTTGCGTTAGGCATTTTGGGGGTGCAATTTTGGGGCTTCTCCGTCCTTCACTGCCATGGTGTTGTCCCATCCGGGGACCAGCACCAGCAGCAGCAGCAAAAGCCTCTGCAGCAGCAGGAGGAAATGATAGCCAAACAAACTTCGTATTCATAGCAGCAGCAAGAGGGAAAAGCAGCCAAAATCATCATTTTCTATGGGTTTCAGAAGTTACGTTAGGCATTTTCGGGGTGCAATTTTGGGGCTTCTCCGTCCTTCACTGCCATGGTGTTTTCCCATCCGGGGACCAGCAGCAGCAGCAGCAAAAGCCTCTGCAGCAGCAGGAGGAAAAGATAGCCAAAATTCATAGCAGCAGCAACAGGAAAAAGTAGCCAAAATCATCATTTTCTATCGGTTTCAGAAGTTACGTTAGGCATTTTGGGGATGCAATTTTGGAGCTTCTCCGTCCTTCACTGCCATGGTGTTTTCCTATCCGGGGACCAGCAGCAGCAGCAGCAAAAGCCTCTGCAGCAGCAGGAGGAAAAGGTAGCCAAAATTCATTTTCTATGGGTTTCAGAACTTACGTGAGGGCTATGGAGTTTTGCAACAAGTTCAAGGCTGTGCAAAACTGCTCCATCCCTAGCAATTTATAACATGAAACTCAACTTTAAGAGTGTAAAGCTTCCAGTAGATCTTACTATGAAACAATGGGATGACATCCGATTGAAACCAAACCAGCATATGAAACTTTGGGGTTTATGCTGAACTAACCAAACATGTGGGATATTCCATCAAGAATTGTGTGTGAAAGAGTTTTGTGTGTCTGAAAGAATTGTGTGCCGCTAAGTTGTGTAAGATGACAACCAAATAGCCAACGCCACCAAAGTTGATGTCCGTACTGTTGAATCTGATCTACACAAAAGAAAAAAGAAGAACCAGAAAAGAATGTTGCGTCACAAACCTCCTGGTGTTTTTTTCCGGGGTCGGCGGCAGGGGCGGCAGCCCTTAAATTCGGCTCCGCCGGCTCCCCACGAGTGGCTTGCCCTACGAGCGTCCCAGAGCGACTAGAGCTCTAAGGTGAGGCGCGCCCCAAGCCGCCGACCCTCCGACGCCGGGCCCCGAAAAACACCAAAAATCCTTCAGGAGGGTGGGGGAGAGCTTTTTGGCCGGAATCCGGGTCGCTCATAAGCGTCTCCAAGAGCATTCCCCCCCCGTTTTGAGGGTACCTAAAATCGGAAAAAAGCGCCGTTTTGACACCTTTTTCGGACGATTTTTCGCTTTTCGAAATGGACAAAATGCTGTAAATTACAGCATTTTTGCGTTTTGACGTCTTTCGCGGGAGCAATGAAAAAAAGCAGAAAATGCTGTAAATACCAATACTTTTTAGACCGGAGATGCACAAAACACCGCAAATACCAGTGTTTTTGAAAGCCAAGCAAAAAAACACTGTAAATTACAGCATTTTTCGCAAGTTGATCGCAAAAAATGCTGGTATTTACACTGTTTTTGCAATTTCAAGAAAACGTGGAAGGCACGAAACACTGTAAATAGCGGTGTTTTGGCCACTTTCGGACGCCGAAACGTTGGTATTTACACGTTTTTTTGCCCGTGACGGCGCCAAACCCCTGTAAATTACAGCATTTTTTGCACTTTTTGAACCGATGTTTTGCCTTGATGAACGCAAAAAACGCTGGTATTTACGCGTTTTTCAAAAAATCGAAGATCGTGACGTGAACGAAACCCTCTAAAAAACAGTGTTTTAGCCACTTTCGGGGACTAAAACTGTGGTATTTACGCGGGTTCTTGCCATCTGACAGCGCAAAATGTTGTAAATTACAGCACTTTGTGCGCTGTTTATGTTAATTTTTTTAACCTGCGATGCTTTCACCTGTTCTTTCAATCTTCCACAAGAAACACTGTTGCAGATTGAAACTGCACGACAGCGTGACCCGAAAGAAAGCTGGATGGAGGAGTCGCAGAGAAGCTTTTTACGCACACAGGGGCTTTTACGCAGAGAAGTCTTTACACAAAGGAGCTTTTTACACACAGAAGGTTTTACACAGAGAAGTCTTTACTCTAAGGAGCTTTTGCACACAAACGTCTAGGAGCCTTTACACACAGAAGCTGTTACACAAAGAAGTCTTTACACAGAAAGCTTTTTACACACAGACGCGTTTGCACACAGAAGCTTTTACACAGAGAAGCTTTCACAAAGGCATTTACACACAGCAAGCTTTTACACACACAGAAGCTTTTACACAGAGAAGTCCTTACACAAAGGAGCTTTTTACACACAGAAGGTTTTACACAGAGAAGTCTTTACTTTAAGGAGCTTTTGCACACAAACTTCTGAGAGCTTTTACACACAGAAGTTTTTACGCGAAGAA